TAAGATCTCAAAGTTGTAATTTGTTTGTTATGTAAATTGGGGATATTTATAATACCTCTTCCTCCGTCGTTTCTTGGTAGTGTAAGTCTCTGTGTGCATGATCTTGGGTGGTGTCGTCTGTATTTTGTTAGTGTAGTATTAATGTTGCGTTGTAGATTCTGAAGCTCTGTTTTGGACCAATTTATGATACCAAATGAATATGTGAGAATTGGAATAGCATACGTGTTAATAGCTTTTATAGTATTTCGGGCGTTTAATTGAGTATTACATATTATTTTTACTCTGTGTTTAAATTGTTTTGTGAGCTGGCTTTTAATTTCTTTATGCAAGATTTGTTTGGTTTGTATGTACCCTAAATATTTGTAAGTACCACTTTCATCCAAGGAATCAATGGTATCACCTGTTTGTAACTGATAGGAGTGCGTGTAAGTTTTGCCTGCTTTCACTGAATTGATTTTACATTTATCGATTCCAAACTCCATTCCTATGTCATTTGAAAATATTTCAGTTACGTCAGCCAGCTGATGTAAATCCTCTGGAGAAGATGCGTATAATTTGATGTCGTCCATGTAGTAGTTACTGTGTTCCTGTATTTAAGTTGATTTATTTATTTCAGTTTATTATTATTATTATTAAAGTCAGGTAAGCTTAATTTTTGTTCATTTTTGCTTAGAGGTAGATAGATACTCACAATGGAATAATTATAACCTCAGTTCCTGAGGTGGGTATAGGATTTTGACGGACTGAAAGGCCGTCAAAGTTCCCCAATATGGAACAAAGTCTTTCTTCCAGTTTCGATAACGGCTGAGCTTCTGAAGGTCCACCACCTGTTTTCCGTTGGTTTTGTCCGATTTTACGAGATTTATTTTTTATTCGACATTTCGACAGTCATTGTAAAACTGAGAACAAAACCAACATATTATTTCAATGGTATGTCAAAGTCAAAATCATTTATTTCAATTAGGCCAGAATGGCACTTTTGAACGTCAAAAACGCTCATTCCAAGGCGTAGATTCCTATGGAGAAGAACGAACAAGAAACTCCATAGGTTACTCTTTTTCAATCAGGTTCACAATACAATTTACTAGTTACATAGTTTTGCTGTTTGGATTGTGCGAGAACATTGTAACACTAAAATCCAGTCAAAGTGATCAAAAAAGAAAATAACCTTAAGGACAATAATACAGTCTGGAGCTGACCAGTCCCAGTTGACGGCGCCCGTTCACGAACATGACACGTACACCAGCACCGCCCAACTCAACCATATTGTAGGAAATCGAGCGATCCACTGCACGCGCCACCGTCAATGAGACCTTTGAGTGAGCATGACAACTCCAAACTGACACAAATGAAATCTACTAATTTAATTTAATATTAAGTTAATTACAGGGCTCTCACATTTACAATGATTATCTAAGTTAAACAATATACAATTTAGCAATATGGCTGTGTTATTTACGATTTCATTAAAACAAGTGTTTTTAGTTATCCTGTGGAGCCGGACTAGCCTGCATCCAAGCATTTTTATCCTCTATATATTCATTACGTTTGTAATATGCTTGTCTACCTAAAGTTTTCTTTATACATAATTTAAATTTGGTTTCATTTAGTTGTTGTAAATCGCCTGGTATCTTATCATAACATTTAACACAGAATCCCATGAACGACTTACTTACTTTCGCTAATCTCGAAATTGGCTGACTTAATCTATTTTTATGTCTAGTTTGATAGTGGTGTCTGTCCGACACTTTACCTAACAACTGTAGGTTTTTCCTAACATACATAATATTTTCATAAATAAATTGACATGGAACGGTCATAATGTTGATCTCCCTAAACCTTTCTCTGAGAGATTCGCGACGACCTAGATTGTAGATAGCTCTGACGGCGCGCTTTTGTAAGATAAAGATAGACTCAATGTCAGCAGCGTGTCCCCACAGCAAAATGCCATACGACATAATGCTATGAAAGTAACTGAAATACACTAGTCTTGCCGTGTCTATGTCAGTTAACTGTCGTATCTTCCAGACAGCATAAGCTGCAGAGCTCAATCGTCCCGCTAATGATGTAATATGAGGACCCCATTGCAATTTGTCGTCTACAGTAATTCCCAGGAAAGTTGTGGTATATGGTATTTCGCGTTAACTGCATGCTATGCAAGAAGTGTAATTACTTGGTTCTATTCTTTTGCTGACCTGTACATGGAAGGGTCTGCTGTTTCACTGTTTAATATTGCAGCTAGCTCGGTCCACAATTTAGTGGACAAAATATGCCTCGTGCCCATCCCAGTGCCAACATTGTATGTTTCTCCATAAAATCTACTAAGGCCTCATTTACGGAGACGTAGGACGTCGCGCGTTGCGTTGAGAGGCACGGCCCGCACTGAATTCAAATGTATGGCGTTGTATGAGTGCGTTTACAGAGAAGCGATTTTAGACGCCTTTACTTGAATTAGGGCGTTTTTTACGGCCGAGCCCGCGGATGGCACCGAACGCGTCCTACGCGGCTATTATCGCGTCGTGCCGCACATGTGCGAGTGTTTTATTAATAATATTGTACTTAGTGTATGTTAGTATCATTCTATGAACAATTAATGCTTAGTACATTATTTATGTTAGTATCATTTCCCAAATACTACATAACATACTACACAACTTCATTTAAATAACATACAATAAACAAAATAATATACATTGAGCTTCTATTTATATATATCTACTAAGTATCTACATCTACCTACTTACTATCCATATTTACAATTTCTGATACTTACGTCCACTTTCGTTTGGTTATCACTCTATTTTTATGTTGTGAATGACCAGCCATCCACAACTGGGGTCGCTCCTGTATTGCAGAAATAACTAGTTCCAATGTTTCGTCATGAATGCTGCAAGTTGCGACACGTGTGCTCCCATCTTTCGCCAACATAAAACTAGTCGATTTGATCGAGGCGAGCATGCGCCGCCGCGTGCTTCGCTACACACTAGAGGATTCGCAGCGGGCGCCGCGGCGGGCACCGCCACGCTTCCCGTCTCGCTTCTCTATGAACATGGTCGTATATTGCTATAAGTTTGTGTTTACGCGTGCGATGTTGCGTGCCGCATCATGCGCCACCCCACCGTAAACAAAAAAAAAGTCCAACGCGCCGCGAGACGCCACGCCACACGCGACGCGAGACGCCCCGCGTCTCCGTAAATAAGGCCAAAGAGTTCTAGCTGTCTTATGGAAACTAGCTACATTTTTATTTTATTCTCAAGTTCGAATTATCTTTGTGGAAGAAACACCACAATATATTTTGTGGTATCCTTTTATATGGAAATAATGCTAATACCGGTTATTATAGTTTCCCGTCAGCTGACGCGCCGCAACAGAGCGTTAGATTTTCTTTATCATCATTACCAGATCGTCAATGAACATTTTTCACCCCCTTTCTAGCAAAGACTGGTTGACCTTTCGGACACAATAAAAAGGCAGACTCATCGCAGTTGAACACGCGTGCAGGGTCTTCCAACACAGCCATGAGATTGTTGTCTTCGAAATATTTTCGGACTCGTTGAAACCAGTCCCTTATTTTTTCTTCAGTAGCGTTTACACGGACAGTAGTCAATGCTTGACATACTCTCTTGCTTATCATTGGGTCTCTTTTTAGAAAGGCCTCGTACCAATGTCTGCCAGGGACTCCGTCCTTGAATGGATTTTGTCGTTTCAACCCTATAAGTAATTTAGCTACCGAGTGTAGCAGTTGGTCTTTAGTTACTGGAATTCCAATTTCGGCCATGTGCAGTGCCCATTTTACGAACAAACCGTTTTCTGTCGATGACAGGACTGTTGGAGCTCCTGCTGACTTTTGTTTTGTGTATTTTTTCTTAATTTAGCCGTGCAAGGTCTGGTTGGGTATGTTATATACCTTCGATGCACGATATATGGTTATTGTTCCATCATTTATATCCTCTAAAGCTTTGGCGAAGTCCTCGTTGAGTACTTTTTGTTTGACATTTCGACCTGTAAAAAAATTAAAATGCAGTAGCTCACTCAAGTACTTCTATATCTACCGTAATAAGAGACACGGCCAAAAACAGTGTAGGTAGGGCTGCCACCTTTCAAAAACAGTATACCCGGAGATTTTAGAAATGTCGTTTTTTTTTTTATTAAAATAAAACATTTTTTTAAAGATTTAAGTATTTAATGAAATAAGTACAAAGTAATGGTAAATTAATATAGGTATGTAACGTTTTTTTTTAATATAAATTACCTAGCTAGTGCTAGGCTGACTTGAACTAGTTTGACACTTAAAATTATATTTTTTATTCTGCAGGGATTGTTTCAGCATTTCTTCTTGCTAAGGTTTCTTTAAAAATTTTAAAAATTCTTGGCAATTCATATTGTAATTAATCTTTACAATTAACTCAGCCTTCATGATGTCCACTGATAAGCAGTTTCGCTCGTCTGTCCACAAATTTTCCATTAAAGAAAAGACGCGTTCTACGAAAGCATTGCTTATAGGGATTGAAAAGATTTTACCAATTATTTTTGGCAGTTCGGTGAAAGTTGAGGTGACTTTGAAAAGCTGAACCCATCGTAAATCAACAGATAATGTTGAATCAATAGATTGTTCGAACTGAGGAAATACTTGGTTTAATTTTCGGGTCTCGTCATACAGTTTATCTTCGTCCACATTTTTCAGACCAAGTGATTCGCAAGCTTCCACAGCATCTTCGTAACTTACTGCACTTGTTAGATCGAATTTGGAAAAAAATTTGAACACAGAATGCTCAAAATCATAATATTTCTGTACGTATTCAAATTCAAATTCAAATTCATTCATTTAATCGTTTGCAAACATGGGTACATAATATAGGTATTAACAAAACATACAGTTTCTCCATATTTTGCTTTCACTTGGCATGCAGATATGTTATAAAAGAATTATATAATAAAATTAGGTACATTCAGTTTAATTAATTGTAATGTTGTTAAATTGATTACAGTATGTCAAATAAATTAAAATTATTAATACCATTGAAGTCAAAAATGTAATGTCAAATTAAATATATTATGTAAAAAGGTAATCATCAATTATGAATGTCACACAAGCAATGTTAAAGCAAGAGTTTTTCTGTAAACCTCATTGGCTTCTTTATTTAATTGATCCTGTTCGGAAGGCCTCAAAAACTTCATGTTTCTCATTACTTTGGCGCCATAAAACTCATCATGCAGTCGGCTTTCAACCTTGTCTTTTATATTTTTCATAATTGGGTGCAACTCAGTAGCTGTTACTGTGTTTTTTTGCAGTAATAGTATGGCTTCTTTCAGCATATTCATATAATAATGAATGAAATATAAATAACATTCCTGTAGTGTGATTTTTGCAGATAAACTTCCAGCATCATCACCACACTGTTTTACGAATTCCCATATTATTTTATGGTATGCTGCTTCACCAAGACTTTTGAAATACGCGGATACAGCAGGCCATGACAATATCAATCTGTCAACAGCTCTTCCCAAACTTAACCATCTAGTTGGCCCATGTCTCAAAACTTTTCTGTATTCAATTTCAAACTCCTCAAAAAATGCCTGCAATTCTCTCGTGCGTTTTGCGCTGTTCGAAAATTCCGCATAAACTTTCATAATCAAGTTTTCCACATCATATGTTAAAGCTTTCATAGCGTTTCTGGCGGCGTTATGAAGAACATGACAGTTACAATTTGCTTTAACGACTTTGGTATCGGAATATTTATCTTTAATTTTTTGGTACACGGAATTGTGAGCACCGTAATTAACCGATGCATTATCTGCAGAGAAAGCAGACAGCAAAGTTGTGTCTAAGTCATGCTGAAGCATAAAATTGTCAATATTCTCAAAAATTTTTTGAGATGTTTCGTTCGAATCCTCATAAAAATCCATTAATTTATTCTGAACACCTTTTTCTTGGTCAAAGTATCTGATGACAATTGGATACATTTTCTGGGATCCTTTATTTGAGGCGTCGATAGCAATCGAAAAGTGAAACCCGCCTCTAGATTAAGTCCTTTTTAGGTCTTGTATTGTTGACTGGATTGAATTCGGTGCTAGGACATTCAAAACAATGGCTTCAGCTTTTGTTCTGCCGCAGTGAACTTTATGTGATAGTGGTGAATCGGAATAAAGAGTAGCATTTAATTTAATACCACAATCGGTGCTCAAGTAACTATGGTGGTGGCTAATTGCATGATAAATCGACGCAATTTCGATTGTCGCTACTTTTAGCTCTTCAGAAGAATTTTTCTTGGGCAGAAAAGCGGTTATCAAAAAATTTGAGTCAATGTTTCTCACCTTTTTCTTGTGCGTTTCACTGTTAAGAAGAGTCGATAACGCCTTTTCACCATCCCATTTCACTGTAAATTTCACGTTACAAAATACACATTTCGCGTTTTTTTCATCGACTTTTCTCACCCACATTTTATACTTCTCATTTTCTAGCCACACTTGTTGAAAATTACATTCGTACTTCTTTTTTTTCTTCGACTGTGATTCTTCTTGTTCAATTATGACCACATGCTACAACACTAGGTACTTTTAATAAGAGAAAGTACCGAAAACAATCTGTGATAGAAATATTAATGAACAAAACATAAAATACTCTTGTTTGTATGCAATTATTACGAAGCGCTAACAGAAATTAGCTATTGTTTTGAATCTAATGATCGTTCTGCGTACGCATGTACTGTTGTACCCCGCCCGCGCTCCCTGCCTGCTACTCCCACTTTCCATATATACTTGCGAATCGCAAGTAAGTCAGTGTTGAGATGTTCTATGCAGGTGTTCAAGTTAGCGATATCAGCCTGAGCGTATAGTTGTAGATCATCGGCGTAAAGATGATAAGAGCATTTGAGGAGACTAGTGATAGAATTTATAAATAGAGAGAATAACAAAGGAGAGAGTATACCGCCTTGCGGTACACCAGCTGTTAGCCCGCCCCAGTCGGAGAATTCCTGACCAACGCGAACCGCCTGCTGGCGACCGCGAAGATATGTAGAAAACCAATCCCGCGATGACGCCGAGAATCCAATCTGAGTGAGCACGGCCAAGAGAATATCGTAGTCAACCGTGTTAAAAGCGTTGGAGAAGTCGATTAAAACCAACACAGTTAACCTCGAACCCTCCATGCCATGCCTTACATCCTCTGTGACCTTCAACAGGGCAGTGGATGTGCTGTGGCCGGGCCGAAAACCTGATTGGAAGGGAGGCAGCAGTTTATGTTTAAATATGTAAGAGGACGTTTGTTTATGAACCACTGCTTCGAGGATCTTGGACAGGTAAGGGAGGATAGAAATGGGTCTGTAATGGTTGGGCTGACAAGGATTGGAGGTTTTTGGAAGTGGAATTATATATGCTTTCCGCCACGATGACAGGAATACACCGTAAAAAATAGAATAATTAATTATGTGAGTAAAATGGGGAAGGAAGTGCTCGAATATTAAGGAGACCATGGTTCGACCCATCCCATCAGAGCCCACCGCCCTGGATTTAATTGATGCAAAAACTCTTTGGATCGCGAGGTCAGTCACGGGACTAAATGAAAATGTGTTAGGAGGTAATATAGGCCTGGAAGTTATCTCAGAAATAGTTTTGTGTTTGACTACGTCTGTGAGACCCGTAGATGCAGCGAAATGCGAGTTGAGACTGTTGAGGGACAAGTTTGGTGATAAAACACTTGTTGAAGTCTCACAAACGCCCAGAGTTTTTAAGAACTTCCATACATCAGCCTGCGAAGAGTTTTGAACACTATCAAAAATGTATCGGCGTTTGGCAGCTCTCACCATCTGGTTACACCGATTCCTCGCTATCTTATACTGAATCCAGTTTTCCTGGCCACTAGATAACCCTGGCGCCGCGACCTGTCCATGATTAACGACCAGCTCTGGGGAGGACACGAGCATGAGGTCAATCCAAGAGTCTTCGGAACCAACATTACAATGGGTTGGGTCTAGTGGGAGAACTGAAAGATTCGACGACTCAAGGATCGACCTCAGGCCACGTGACCTCGGGGTGGACCTAGTGAGATCAGTGTTAAAATCCCCCATGACAATGTGATGCTTGTACTCCGAGGAAAAAGAGTCAAAAAGGGTTTCCAGTTGAGAGAAATAGTTGATGGCCGGGGGGCAATAGACAACGCCCAGAACAGCTTTGACTCCTCTGATATCGACCTCAAGGATCAGGCTTTCCGGACTACCGCTGAAAAGAGAGGGAGAAGAATAAATTATTTTATAAGAGATACCGCTACGTAAAAAGATAGCAACACCACCGCCTCGTTTTCCCGTGCGATCGTTCCGAACTAGGATAAATCCAGGCAAGCTGAATGAGGTGGAGAGAAGTTCGGGCTTAAGCCAGCTTTCGGAGATCAGTACAGCATGGATCAACGTGTCTGAAAACATATCCAACAACTCTGAGTGGTGTTGAGGAACACTTTGGGCGTTAACATGACAGACATTAAAACAATTCGGAAAACGCCGATTCTATGACGTCGTAATTCCTGCCGACTTCCGTGATTTGGGTCTGCAGTGCAGCGAGGACGTCCCAGACATACTCCTTGAAAGTGTTGTAATCACGCTTAAGGCCACTCAAGTCTTCTCCAGGAGATGAAACTTTCAAGTGGGCCTCAAAAGCTGCCATCCACTGACTTAATGATGCAACTGCCATTCGATGTGTTTCTGCGAGGCTGTCCATTGTGGTCAGTGGGTTTTGTTCTCACAAAAACTGTTTAAAGCACCAGTCTTCAAATTTTAATGTGATATGTCACCGGCAAGTAAATGCAATTCTCACTGTCTTAAAGTCATAGGTACTGGGTTGCCCACACAATATACATTTACAAAGATGTCACTATATTGATTTTGGCATAGATATTAAATATATGTTGAATTAAACTAATACATATTAAATTTAAATACAGAGCACATAAACTTGTCAAGTTATTTACACATACCCCCTTATTTACACGTACTTTTATGACGCTCAATGTCATTTTTATAACGTACTTTTTAATTTAAGGATTTTTACGCAGCACGTGTCGCACGTAGTGACACCTAGATGGTACAAATAGTACTAGTTGGTGGGAAATTGTATTGCAGTGAACGGTTCACTGCAAAGTTTTGGGACGCTTTTCGTGAACTGACACTCCATCTAGATAGACAATTCATTTGGGTAATTAAGTTTGTTCTAAGTTCGAAGGTTCCAAGGGATGGTAACATTTTTAGCGTAGATAAACATAAAAATGTTACGTTTGAGTTATTGAAGATTGAAGTTTAACCTGTGTTTGATTATTAACTCGTCGAGTACCGGTTTTGTAGACACAATTATAGAACAATAGGTTGCGGTCACCGGTGACCGCTTGGTGTTTGACAGTTTAATAGACTTACTTGCGTTTATTGGTTCTTAAGATAATATGAGGCCGTCAGCGCAAAAGTGGCCTAAGCTCAGCATAGTTAGTATGGAAATAATGAGGTTTGAATTTTCATGAGTTTAAATTGAATACATAGTAATTATATTATGTTTATATTTAGTTTGCAGGTGTGTTCTAATTAGTTACTATGGTACATTATTTGTGATAAAGAAGATTATTTTGGAAAAGAATTAAAAATTAATATATTTTTAATATAGGCCACCTTTGCATTTAAAGTAACTAGACATTTTCCCTAATATCCAGAAGGTTAGGCCAAAAATAAAACGAATATGTAAATGAAATCACCTTTGTATTTTTCAAATTAATAGAAAATCACATTTTAATTTAACTCTTAAAGGCATGAATTAATAAATTGTATTGAAAAAAGTGGTTTCAATTCATTAGAAGCTCTCAAATACGGGAAAAATTATAAAAACATAACTATTAACATTTTATAGGTTTTTAATCAAAAAATCAAGTTGATGCAATTTTGGGACATTATGCAAAATATATCTAAAAAAATATTTTTAATAATTACCTGTGGATTAAATTGAAGTAATCGTTTCCTTTCTTTGCACACAGGAATACATTTGACAAAGCTCTGTAGCTTACAGCCAGGTCTCTTGCACCTCATACGTTGGTCGGTTTTAATTTGGTTTATGACCAAGATTGTCCAACCGAACGTCAGACGGTGGAAAAACCTTGGCATCCTTTCTTTCTTTTTGCCTCTATGGTATCAGTGCTGTTGCTGGGACGTCCTCTTGTTGGCTGGGTCGTAGTTCCATAGGTACATAAGACATCAGCCAGCTCTGACCTGAATTCTGCAAGATTTTTCAGCTTTTTAGGATCAGCTCCTTTTCTTGTCTCTATAGTTTTGTACAGAACCCAAGAGTTTATAATAGTCAAATTTAAAAGGTGGTAAAAATCCTCATGTACCGTTTCCTGGTCTTGATTTTTATTCTACCTCTATATCTGCCCAAAAACGAATCCATTAGATCAACGCCCCCCACATGGGCGTTGTATTCTTTGACTATTTTTGGGCAGTCTATAATAATTTTTTTCTTTTTAGTTTTGACTTTTTGTTTGTTATTAGTTTTTGGTTTTTTGAAGTCGGTTTTTTATCAATTATGCTAAGCTCATTTTCATTTCGCAAAAACGATTCAAAGTAGCTAATTGCCACTAAAATCGTTATAAATTGTTCCTATCATTAATAAAACAACTAGTTTTCTTAAGTTTCGTTTACTATTTAAATAAAAATCATCAATCAAATTTACTCTTCTTCCTGTGTGAAGTCCGGTTCACCGCCAAACCCGTCGATATCGTCATAAAGACTCTGATTACCCCTTAAAGACTGAGTCAAAGATTGACTCCAAATCATCTAATTTTGCTTGTGGTATTTCTTTTCCTTTTCATGGTGAGGTAAAATCGGTTTCTGATACCTCCAAAGATTTACCTTTTATCTTTTTCCCTATATTTAATTCATGAAACTGGTCTTCGTTTTAGTTTTCTAGTGCAGAGTGAGAACTGTTATCTAGTGCATTATTTATCACCAGCTGAAGAGTATGTATGAAGCAACGCTCTGAAGGAAGTAGAGTTTCCTTAACTCCTTTAACCTTATTCGCCCCATTATTGTGAAAAATCGCATGAATTTTAGTGATGGGTATGTCCCATTTCGTTACACATTGTAACATTTATCTTTTGACATTTTGTGATATGTATGATTCTGGAAAATATGCCATGCTTAGAACAGCATTTTACAGTTTAAAGTTTTCTGATATCCAGTGTCCTGTCAAACTCAGAAATACAGCATTGCTTACAGAAGAAGTCCAAAAGATCGCTAGTGAATGCTATTGGTATATTTGGTTTGACTGTGTGAAATATTGGCGCGCACAAAGCGCGTGAGCACATGAGGATTGCCGTCAAACTCAGGCAAAACCCTAAGGGCTCTTGTAGACGTCCGTTTTTTTCACCGGATAACGGACCGTCAATAAACGGCTATCCTTGTATACATATTTTTTTTATCGGATGGATGGACTGCCGTCTATATGCGTTAGTTTTGAACTGGTAGTCAGAGATTACACACGTGTGAAATGTCGAACAATAAGAAAAAAAAACTAGTATTGGCCTACTATTTGTACAAGAAGAAACAAAAAGAAATAGAAAAACGTAAAAGGCCATTGTGGGTGCATCCTATACCTATTATTGGAAAGGGAAAAATATGGTGCATTTCAAACTCTTTTTACGAAGTTGAAAGAAGATGAAACTAAATTTTACAATTATTTTCGGATGAAGAAAGAAACCTTTCAACTATTATTAACAGCCATATATGATAAAATAAGACACGAGGATACTGACATGCGTCAATCTATTTCCCCGGCAGAGAGATTAGCTGTTACACTAAGGTATGTTAAAGACATTGATATATATGTACTACTAGATTACACATGCAGTACACTCACTTTGTTCAACTCAGGTGTACTGCATGCCGTACACCTGACATTAGTGTGGTTTTGGGGATTACCTGTATTAATTCAAACAAAATTTAGTAGATAGTAATAGTTTTATTATACTCAAAAAAGAAATTAAGGAGTTTCAGAAAAATCGAAATCGTAATTAGGCGATGTGATTGAACTTAATTCAGTAATAATTGAAGATTGGGAATCATCTTGCTGCATGAGTTCTTGAGGCGTCCTGGATGTAGATGGAATGACTTGTGTTGGCTGATATTCATAAGGCATCCTGGATGTCGATGGAATGGGTTGTGTTGGTTGATATTCGTGTATCCTGTAGTCGGGTGTAGCCGTAGTGTAGCCTCGATTAATATTGTAATTGTAATTTTGCTGCTGCATGGACGCTTGATTTCTCCGAGTTAAATTTCTCATAACTTTAATGACTTCATATTGGAATTCAACATAATCGTCGTCACTATACTTGTCTACAATTGGAGCAATACCTTTGAAAAAACACATACTCTTACTCTTGTCTTCATCTTCAACTGATTTAATTAAAGTAAGCATTTGTCGATCAACTTCGCTACAGTCTGTCTTTCTCTTCTTGCTTGTTTTTGTTCTATCGGTAGTATTGGCTGGTGCGGTAGGGTCATTATTGGTTTGTGAGTCAGTTTCTTTGTTGTGAGGTTGTGTGATGTTTTTTTCTGATGTAATACTTGTTTCCGTTGTTCGGCGAGTCACAATTTTACACAAAAAGAGCATTTGATCGTAGAATTTATATTTTCGTAGACTTTTTGCACCAGAGCCGGATTTACATTCCTTAACTTTTTTGTGATATTTCATCCAGTTATCTCTTGCATTGTTCCATTTTTTTATGATATCTTTGCCTAAAAAGAAAAAATTGTTACAGATATTTAGCTGCAGGGAACACGTTTAGTGATCTACATTACAGTTTCAGAATGGGTATAAAAACTATCAGCTGTATTGTACAAGAAGTATTTGAAGCATTGTGGGAAACCCTTTCTCCAATTTATATGAAACTACCATCGGAAGACGAATGGTTAACAATAGTAAAAAATTTCGAGACGAATGCAAATTTTCCTCATTGCTTGGGAGCCATTGACGGCAAACATATTCGAATCATCAAGCCAGAATAAAGTGGATCAATGTTTTTCAACTACAAGCACTATTTCTCAATAGTATTAATGGCTGTCGTAGACACAAACTATAATTTCGTTTTTATTGATGTTGGAGCCTACGGCAAAGAATGCGATTCAGCAGTATTTAAAGAAACAGAATTTTGGAAAAGAATAGTAGGCGATAAATTACATATTCCTCGACCTAAGCAGTTGCCAGGTGCAGGCATTGAGTTACCTTATGTATTTGTTGCTGATGAAGGTTTCGCTTTACATCAACACGTACTTCGTCCTTACGGTGGGCATCAACTTGACTCAATAAAAAAAATTTTCAATTATCGTCTCACAAGAGCGCGACGCTACGTCGAATGCGCATTTGGTATTTTATCCAATAAATGGAGGATTTTGCATAGGCCATTAAATGTTTCAACAGATACTGCTGTTAACATTGTAAAAACATGCTGCTTATTACAAAACATAATTCATAAAGTAGAGGGTATTGCTAATAATGCTACTGACAATGCTAGTTCACACATGATGCCTACTCTATGCCATTTGCCTCGTTCCCATTCAACACGAGGTAATGTAACAGCAAATATGATTCGTAACAAATATGCAGAGTATTTCATGTCACCAGTAGGGCGTGTACCATGGCAAAATCAATATGCATAAAAATAATGAAAATAAAATGTTACTTACCAAAATCATTTTTTTCTTTCTCGGACATCGTTTCAAAACCTTCATTTAACGCAAGACAAATTTCTCTCCAAGCGGTAAAACTCTACTGTCTATTTTTGTAGCACTCTTGGGTTTTATCCCACAGTACAGGCCTATTTTCAACCAAACTTATTAACAATTCCATGTCAATATCACCCATTTTTAAAAGAACGCAGGTAGACGGCACTCAATTAACAGAACACAGACAATACGTCCGGCAGCGTCAACACGCACTAATACACTGGCGTGGATGACCGCCCTTTCTTACACCGGACCGGTGTCCGTCGCGCCGAGGGGAAGCGGACCGATGTCCGGTGCATGTACACACATTCATTATAATTCATACACCACCGCGAATCCGGCAAAAAACACGGTTCGTTATCCGGTGAAAAAAACGGACGTCTACAAGAGCCCTAAGAGATTTATAAATTTCATTTATTTTATCCTGTGACATTTCTACGTTTGAATGACTAATGTCGTCCAATTGTCCTAATTAGTCTATAGCACTGAGCCTACTTGACTTACTGGTATTACCCGATGAGGTTCGGGTACGTGATACCCGCGGATGAAAAATTTTGAAAGTTTACTAACCACTAACTGAAAATATTCACTTACAAAGAGTATAAAACTAAAATTACAAATTACTGGAATACGATTCTTGCCACGACAGAAATAATAAATGAGGATAAAGGATTTACTTAAAATAGGATGTAGGTAAGGATTTGAAAGATTCAAAGTACTTACAACATTGTTTTATTGCCGAATCGTTGTCTGGATTCACCTCTGCTGACGTCTCCCGATTGTGGTTCTGGATACTCGAGAATCGGTAAGTCGCGCGGGACTTCGCTCCGATTTTAAGGGAAAATCTTGACACAAACCGACCTAATATCTCTTCGAGTATCCTACCGACTGCGCCAGATATATTCGGTGGCAGCAGAGGCAGTCAAATAAAACGATGTTTAACTTAATGATAGTTATACTGAAAGAATGAAAATTACATTAATTATTATATCTAATTAGTATTCATAAGTCGACGATTGACCAAAGAATGCCTATTGGAATCTACCCGTGGCGCAATCACACAGTTCGCGTAAATGGTGTCGCCTTCGAGCAACACGAGGCGCAGCGTCAGCGCAATCGTCAGGTCGTACAACTTTAGCGATATACCGCGGCTATGCCTGCGTAACATAGATGTTAAGTTTATTTTTATGTACTGCACTGTGATTTTATAATTAGTCTGTTTAAAAGTCTGCCTCTACATAATGTACATGTACACAAATTATTGTTTATTATTTACATTCTGCCATATTGATTGTTTATGTAGATGTAAAGTTTATTTCTAAGATTATTATTGTTTAAGCGCTGTACTGTGATTTTATTATTAGTCCGACTTTATATTGAAAAAGTGTGTCACTGAGGTCAAGAAATTTGACAGACTTAGATACTTTAACGAGTAGCTGTTTGTGCTACATTGTTTTACAAAGTGTAACAACTAGTAATGTATAATATATTTTTTTTTTATTGAATATTGTTTACCATGTTTTTTTAATTTAGTAATGTACTTATAATATTAAGGTAATAAATAAAACATTTTATAAATATTTTGTAGCAGTTTATTAAAAGTTAAGAAAAGTAATTATTAATTGTATTTCGTTGTTTATTTCTGCCTAAATTTAAATAAATATTGCCTCCTGTTGTGGGTGGACGGTCTATATTAATTATGCCTAACTCTCTCTCTCTTCAAGCATATCAGAAAGTTGAAAATTGTGGGCTATACATAAATTGTTTAATACACAGCAGGCGTTAATTATTTTGGTAGCCTTATTAGGTGTGTAATGTAACACTCTGTCCTTCAAAAGACACCTGAATCGTAACTTTAGCACTCCATGACAACGCTCTATAGTTGATCGCGTTTTCTGAAGTGCTTCATTGTATAGAAATGCAGGCGTATTCTCATCGTCATCCTCCTCCAAGTTCAATATGGGTGTTAGACACCATGGCCTCAAGGGATAACCACTATCACCTGAAAATATATTGCATTTGTAATGAAGCCTAGCAGTATAATAGTTGATAAAAATATGTATAATTACTATGTATAGAACAAATCCTGTACTGCAACTTTCTTATTTTACCAAGTTTTTGAGATAAATTTGATAAGATAGTAGTATAGTTAGTACATACCCAATAATTGATAGTTTGTATATCCAGCATTATGAAGATTTTGTAGTACAGGCAATACTGTAGAGTTGCTCCAGATATAAGAATCGTGTGTACTGCCTGGGAATAGTGCATTCACATTCAAAATTTTCAATTTGGAATCACAAATCTGTAAAGTAAAAATTTGAAGTATAAAGCGGCTACATCAGTTTGATTAAGTATAATATTTTTTAACTTTATGGATATCAAATTAATACCAACCAACTGCGTGTTAATGAAGTGAAAGTTCTTCCTATTAACATAGCTTCTCTCATAATGCGTAGTTCCCGGAGGAGGCACAATAGCAACATGTGTGCAGTCGATGCATCCTATCACTCCAGGAAACCCATAGCAGTTATAAAAGCTAAAAAGATAACAATACATTAAGTCTACACAGTTATGAAAATTAGATGAGTGCTTGGATATTAAACACAAATATACTCTAACGCTATTATTTGAAGCTCTTGCAACGTTCTTGGAAATCTCACCCATTCATGAAAAATGTTTGGATGGTTTAATGCTTCCACAACGTCACTGCAACGGGAGGTTGTTGCCTGGGACACATTTATTTTGTTTAAGATCCCAGTTGGAGTTTGATAACTCCCAGTACCCAAGAAATATAAAGTGCATAGGACCTGAAATAATATAACCAAGTGTTAGGTAGGAAGGTAAATGATAAAGTTCTGTATTTTGAAAGTAAAATAGCAGTTTTATAAATAAAAGTTTTATAAAAATACCAATTAGTACTAACTACTAACCAATTAGTACCAGCTCCCTATCAGCTGTTGATAAGGAAAGGATATTGTTAAAAATGGCCTATGAATCAACACGCATGAAACATTTATTATGATTCTTAGTTCATTTAATAACATTTTCAGATGATTTTATAAACAAACAATGTTCCTACAATGACTTTTTATAGCCCAACTGTTGTGAACAATCATCAACCTGTTTGTACCAGGCTCTAACAGACTGCTTTAGCCCATATATGGCCCTTTTTAATTTTAAAACTTTATTCTGATTCATATTACACTTGAAATTCTGAGGTAACATCATGTACACAGTTTCTAAGTGGCCATTTAAAAAAGCTGTGGTGACATCTAAATGGGTGATTTTAAGATCTAATTTAAACACTTAATGCAATTAACAACTTCAAAGTGGAATACTTAAGCACTGGTGAAAATGTTTCTTTATAGTCTATACCTTCTCTTTGTGTAGGCGCCAGGTCGACACGCTGGCAAAGGTTTTGTCTCAGACCCACATTGAATGTCAATGTTGGTTCTACGTCTATCTTTAATTCATCGGACGGGATTCAAATGGGCTATCACAAAGCATACATAATTTGACAGATACCTGCATAGTCGCTTGTGATCTCATAAGCGGCGGTTACGTCATCTCGCATATGATAGATAGGGTATTTGAGGTTCATACGCTCAGGATATTCCCCAAGCAAATTAACCTGTCCTTCAACCCTTTCAGCGGGTGACAGTCTCGCTATGGAACTATAGTTCCGAACGTTCTCTTCAGGAACACAACGACGATAGTAGTCGTTCAAAACCTCTCCAGGATTGCGGTCAACTGCCTTGAGGTTCTGCATCGAGTTACTAGTTAGTAACGTTCTACCATCCATACTGATGTCTGTATAACATATACCAGTTTGGTGATACCTGTTTGGTGCACGACGTTCTCGCACAGGTCTATTTATTCTAATATTATTCTAAGTATCTGAACAATCTTCATAATCACTTGGTAAAGTACTCTGAAGATGAATCTTTCATTGACTCTTCCATCAATGTTATATCTATTTCCCCCACTGAATCCTGTAAAACCTCAGTTTCTTTCACCATTTCATTAATCTTTGATTCTTTTTCATTCTCTTCAGGAATAATGTCCATCATAACTGACTGTTTTTCCATAATTATCACATCTCTGCTTGTGAAAATTTGCTTCTTTATCGGATCATACAATGCCTTATAATATTATCAGGATAACCCAATAATATGCATTCAATGGAATTTCTATCCCATTTGGACCTTTTTTCTTTATTGACATGGACCATGACAGGTGATCCAAAAATCCTTAGATTACTCAGATCTGGCTTAACACCCATCTATATAGTTCATATGGTGTTTTACCATTTAAAACTGATGAAACAGTTCGATTATGTCAGTGCACAGGGCACAGCCGTATTGCAAGCCTCTGCCCAAACCTTCTTGCATAGTTCAGCATCATATAACATGCACTTAGCCTTTTCAATGATCGTTCTATTCATTCTTTCACACAACCCGTTTTATTGAGGTGTGTAAGGATTAGATTTTTGGTGTATAACCCCAAACTTCTTTAAATAATCATTAAGTAGTCCGTTCTGAGTATTTTTATTTTTCTATTAGTTTGGTTTTCAGCCATTACTTTATAAATATCTTTAAATGCTTTAAAGTATTTCAACGCTTCATTTTTATGTCTCAGAAAGTAAATGAAGGTCATCCGGCTGAAGTCATCAATAAAGAATAGAAAATAGTATGCTCCTCCCAATGAATGTTCCTCCATGGGGTCACAAAGGTCACTGTGTATAAAATATAAAGGAGACTGGTATATTGATTCTGGTGCTAGTGTTCATTTAACGGCGAATTCCAATTGGATCACTAGCAGATATCGGAAAGTTCATTAAGAAATAATGGTTGCAAACCAGGAAACTGTTTCAGTTACATGTGCTGGCGATGTTCAGATTACAACCTCCGTCAATGGCTGTGAATTTGAAATAAACATCGAAAATGTGTACTGTGTACCAAATTTGACAACTATTATCGGTAAAATCTGCTTTGTTACTTTTTTGTATCAACCTGCTCACTGATATGAGGTTAGTTGGCTTGAGCTTTTTAGGCTCACCGACGACAAGACCAGATGACGACTAATGAACTGCCTGCTTGACCTTCTCAGCATCCTGTTTGTTGTTTGTGCTAATTACTATGTCTCCGTTTTGGATTTTTCGGACTCCACGTACGTATAGCTTCATTTGGTCATTCATTAAATGGATTCATTAAATGGATGTTGTTTATTATTTTTAATTGCTAGCCTATAGACTAAGCCTCTAAGATCTTTAGTAGTTAGCCCGTAAAGCCTGCTCTCCATATCTAATATATAATTGCATAACTCTTTCTCCTCATTATAAGAAAAAACTATTACTTTAGGGCCTAACTGAACTTTCATTTTCATTGTAGTTGAAGAATTTTCAATTGTAGTTGAAAAAGTAGTGCTTAAGCACTTCCCTATGGTTGACTGTAAGAGAATGCCTTAAGGCATTAAGTCCGCCATTCACTTATGTATTTTGTGAAGAAGAAATAAATAAATAAAAAAAAATAAAATTTTCCTTAGAGATTAGAGATTTCACGAAGCATCTTCACCTTTCTTTCCAAAGTGCTTTGGGGGACACCAAAGGTCTTTGCTGCTAGATAGTAACCCATTTTGCCTTGTATCACAGACTCCACCGCATTTCTCATGACCTCTTCTGACCAATGTCCTCTATTTGTCGTTCTTTTATAATTTTTCACCATTCTGCAAAGATAAAAAACATCAATAGTGGATATCTATATTACAAATCATTAGTCTTTTATTGATATAGTAAAACAAAAATTAGAACTATTTTAGTGCGGGCAAGATGGGGTTCCGCATACCCCGTCTTGCCCCCTCATGCCCAAATAAATTAACAAATTAACCTCTAAAAACAACGCTCTCGCACGTAAATAAACAAGTGCTTACCTGCATGAGTAATCCTTGACCCACGTGAATAACTTTATTTGTACTTCGAAATGTTGTTATTTATAGAATAATCACAGTGCAATCAAAATGAAAAAACGCTAAGAAATTCGGCAAATTACTATTTTTTCTATTTATCAAACAAAAACAATGGCGTCGTCGCTCTGTCACTGCGTCAACTAAAAGCTACTATGGCAGCGCTGCGTCACGCGCAGAAACGATCCTGATTGGTCAAGTGGTTCCCGATATAAGACGGGTACCTCGTCTTGCCCGCCACCCCGTCTTACCCCCCTCTCCCCTAATGGATTTCGTTTTCAGGAGGAAATACTGCTTGTAACACTGGAGAAAAAGGTATATCTTGCATCATAGAAGAGTAAGGCAAATCTCTTGTGATAGAAATAGTGGGAGCGTTTTGCAAATCCGGTGACATAGGAGCATCATGTTCAGATCCATTACTGTCAAATAGGTTCATCCGATCTAAAGAATAATCTAGAAAAGGCGCTGAGCAACTAAAGTAGGTCTCATCTTCTGATGGAATTATGTTAATTTCTTCAGTCTGTTGTGTCACTGTCATCTGATTGTGAATTCCTTGCAGGGATCTACGCTAAAATGCGCTTAGACCTAGCTCGTTGGAGTACCTATAAACAAAAAATAGGTAACAAAAATACAGATCTTAAAGGTAAATAACTATGTTTTGTCTATGCTAAGACATACAAATGTATTTTTCAGTTTAAGACAAGATATTTTTGTGGCTTACAATAAAAAAATAAACACGTCACAATTTAACAAAATGTCATAATTAAAAAATGTCACAGTTAAAAAAATTATAAAGATAGTAAATATTGAAGATAATAAAAATAACATTGTAGGCAGGAATTTAATCATTTAACTAATCGTCAACTGTGTAAATTAAATGTTTTTGCAAAGTTTTCTTGAACTTGTGGACAGGTAATTGTTTTATTTGATCTGGTATTTTATTATAAATTCTAGGAGCTATTGCTCCTAGAATTTCCAAAGAAACTTTTATACATTAAAGCCGTTTTACATTTTGTGTGACATAATTGGTTTTGAGTATTTAGTACGCATAGGAGTTTTCCTGACGTCTGATATAACAAACAGATTTAAATTAGTTTTTACAAATAGCGCTGTTTCCAGAATGTACAATGATGGCAGTGTGAGTAGTTTTAGGGATTTGAAAAAAGGTACACAACTATCACTTATTTTAATATTACACATTGCCCTTAGGCAGCGCTTTTGCATTTTCAAAACTAGATCTCTATTAGCGGACTGCCCCCAAAAACAAGCCCATATCGTAAAACTGAACAAACTAGTCCATATGCTTACCGGGACCGGGGAGCTTATAACCGGGAAAGCGCATATGCTGATTGGCTAAGTCGTTTGCATAATTCTTCAATATGAGGCTTCCAAGTAAGTTTATTGTCAATCGTTATACCCAAGAACTTGATATGACTGACTTCTTCTATTTCGTTACACACGCTGAGTTTAGGTACTTGATGTCAATGGAGAGGGGGCAGATTTATGTGTGTAGGTACTAAACATCTAACAATTACACGCACTCTTGATATCAATGGGGAGACCCCCTGACCTACGCCCGTGACACAATGATTTATTATGTCCTAGGGTCCTTGGCAATGTAACATTTAAAGCACAATGTTCTGATTCACTGCTTAGTCGGTTCTTTCACAATGCATCTTTATTATTTATTTATTAATACTTCTGTATAATAACTGACGTCACGTCGTCTGCGCAACGTTGACGTGGCAGATATTGGAGACACACCAACGCTCATAAAACGCCAGTGGGATAGCGGCCTAACCAAATATCAGAAGTGCAAGGTGGTAAATCCATAAAAATATGCGTAGGTATTGCTGAAAATTGGTTAAAAGAATGAAAGCCACAGAAATTCCAATGCTACATTGTTATATCTTGTGGGTCTACCGTTAGCGTCTAACACTGCATCCAATTTTTTTTTTAATGCGTAAAATCATCCAAAGGCTTCTCCCGCCCGAGTGAGGCGGGAGGGAGTGTCAGACTCTTACTGACTAATAACCACCCCGTTCGTACTTCTGCACTTCTAGCCGGAACCCCGGCAACCCGTTAAGTCTTCCGCGGCTCCAGATCGGCATCAGCCCATGGCATTTTTTTTTAAGGGGGGAAAATCATCGAATGACTGCTCCCGCCTGGGTGAGGCGGGAGGGAGTGTCAGACTCTTACTGACTAAAAACCACCCCGTTCCTTCTCCTGCACGTCGAGCCGGAGCCCCGGTTACCCGTTAGGTTCTCAGTGACATCAGCCCATGGCATAAGCTGAGTGTCCGGCTGAGCTTCGAGCCACGCCTGAACTGCTCTGGCACTATGGATAGAACTATTGCCCTGACAAAGATAAATGGTGCCTGACAGGAAGTACAATCGCACAGTTGGCACCAATATGTTCCTTAGGATATCAACATACTGTTCCGCAGTCATGCGGCCAGATACCTCCACCAGTTCACCAGGACCAGCACAGCACATTAATTCCCAAAACTCCAAGCTCGACCACTCGATCTGTTGGGATTACCACATTTTCTGCGTGATATTGTGTGTCACGCCGCTTTAAAATTTTTTGCCGTCTTTGTTGGTCTTGAAAGTCATTTCGTCGACAAATATTACATCATTATTCTCCCAAAGTTGTAATATTCAAGACAAAACCCTATCCTGGCTTCAGCATGGACCGGTGAAAATGTAATCTTATTTGTTGGGATTCTAGTTTTTATACCAACAGCCTGCAAACTGCGTCGGATGGTTTGGGTTGATACTTGAAACCAATGCCGGTCCTATTAATTTTTATATATACTTCCGACATTTTCTAGAGATGCTTTTGCCAGCCTTGCAATAATGTTCAGAAATGGCTAGCTTGAAATCAAATAGTGACATGTATTGGTCAGTCTTGCGTTGCCACAGTAAGCATTAACTGCACATATATCAACCAAGTGGAAAAATATTTTTTTATACCACTGACGAGATCTTATTTTGATCCTGTACAGACCTAACAAAGAGTCAAACAAATCAACGCATTGTGGCGATGTTATGTCTTTGTACTGTTTATTTTTTCTGAAATATCTAGTCTTAGTAGAAGTCGGTCCACTACCAACAAAAGCAGACAGTAAATTTACCACACTTTATTTTCATACCATGATACCAGGCTTAATTTTACGTTATCGACGATGGCGATTTTCTTAACCATAGTACCACGACCTATTTTCTTCAAGTCCTTTTCTGTAGGCATATCAGAGTTAGGTACTCTGTTCATCCTAATGGTTCCCAATGGCAGCAATCCATTTTTATACAGGTAAACTTGCAATTTTATACTATTGAACCAGTTATCGAAAAATATTTTGGTGTTTACATTTCGAGGCACAGTAAATGTGAGTCATGTAACAACGTTGGAGCTGACACCAAGATCTGGTGCATAACTTGGAAAAATGTTGCTTCGATCGCCAGCAAATATATCGAAGTCGTAACTGAACCCTGATACGCCACTCAACACTTGATTTTTGTACCCCCACTTATGAGGTTTGGCTGGATTGTACTGTTTGAGTTGGTGGCGAGCTTTCGTGGGTATAATTTGCTCATCTACGGCCAGTAATTCTTCTTTGTAGTTATGTTTTTTATATGCACATATAACGATGAGTCTATTGTTATAATCAGGTTTGCTTTCGTTTTCGCATCGTCTGCTGCTGGCTC